AAAACACTGCAAAGTTGCTGTTTTAATCGAAAAATCATGATTTCATTTTTTTTCTCTCATTATACACAGTGTGCTGCAGGATCTGTTTTATGTGGTGCACACATACCACATAGATGTATTCTCTCATATCTAGGCCCAAATGTACCACTCACAGTTTATCAGAGTGAGCTGAGCTCATGGCGTAGATCTACGGTTTGGACCCTGAACGTAAAGCCGTAGATCTACGGGACGGACCCTGAAAGGGTTAAATAAATATATAAAATAACATTTTTACTTACCTTTATTGAAGATTGGTGATGGCATCTGGAAGATAGGGAGGAGGAGAGAAGGAGTTGGGGTTAGTGTTTGGAAGGGGAATCCCCCTCCATAAGGACTTTAGGTATCAAAGCCCTCTCTGGGGTTACTTCCCTTCTGTCTTTTAATGCCACTAGGACCAGCTGGAGAGTCACTGGACCCCTGTCTTACAAAATAACTGTCCACAGTCCTCTGTTTCTGGCACCTCTTTAAGATGTCCCTAAAATGGGGAAATCAGCTTCCTTGATTTGTTCTTTCTTTGCCAGGATAGAAGCGATGGTCGACTTGTTTTTTCCCATACATCCTGGCAAGCTTAACATGTTTCACACCACTCTCATACTTCTGTATTATTTCCTTCTTCACATCTATGGTGTTTCTCACTTTCTTTACCACAGGGGTACCACTATCAAGTTTCTTTGGGCCCATGGTAGCTTATTTCACAGTCCCACAAGCACTAAACACAATGAATTAATTGTAAAATGTTTGAATGAGAGTGCAGGTTATTGTTCACTCAAGCATCAACAAAGCCAGACTGGCTCAAGGCGCCTGCGCGGGGACGCGGACAGAAGGGGCTGGTGGATAGGTCCAGTACCCAGTGGTTCGAAAATAGGGGCAAGTCTGATAATAGGGACAAAGCTGGTTCGAAAAAAGCAGTCAATTTTCAAAGAGTTCGATATGTGATACGTTCGAAATTTGAGGTTCCACTGTACTTTGAGCTAAATTTTTAACTGCCTTCAGTCCTGAAACCAACCAAAATCATCTCTATTTCAGTAGTATGTCAGCCATTCTATCAAATGATACCAAGAAACTCCAGTAAAACCATTAAAACCATCTGAGAAAACACCTCAGAAATACTATTTTAAATCATATACGTACATGGTCAGACTTTTACTTTTTCCATCATGCACCACATGGGGCAAGATTTTTTTTATACTGTGCACACTCACCAAACAAGCCCATTCTCTTATCTAGGCCAAAATTTACTGCTCATGGCTTATCTGAGTGTGCTGAGCTCATGATACAGAACTGTATGAGGGACCCCTGACCTCATTGAAGTAGTTCAATGTGATGGCCACTGAAAGGGTTAATAATATCTGTAGATCCCTTTCCTTGTATCCTACTCCCAAAATTTGTAACATAATCTATATTCTTAATGTGATCTGATTTTGCTTCTCATTTCCTTTACATAGTTTTTATCAGCATTAAACTCCATTATCCACCTGTCATTCCACTTGCTCAATGTATCCAAGTTACCTTGTAAAGATTTAGTCACTTTTATTATGGTATTTATTTTGTATGAGATTTTTTCATCATCCACATGCAAATTCATGGGGTATTCTATTCCTTCTAGAAAAACTAAACAGATCACAGCTAAGAGACTGAACAGTCCCTGGCTAACACCCAGCATCCTCAAATCCATAAATATGAAGCACCAGTATGAAAAACAGTACAGAATGGGTCACATAACCAGAGACCAAACAAAACATTACTCATCTATCTTAGCCAGCCTGATAAGAAGGGCAAAAAAATTATATTATGAGAACAGATTATCCAACTTAAAAGGTGATATAAAAAAGACCCGGGAAACCCTATCTGAAATTCTAGGAACAAAACCAGATGAACGTAGCCTACTTCCACCTACTGAAACAGCAAACAGACTCGACGTTTTCTTCTCCACCATAGGAAAAAACCTTGCGGGTAAAATCCCAAGCTCAAATACCCCACCCAATGACTACCTCACTGGCACCTACCCGAACACACTATTCCTAGCTCCAACCAACCCAACAGAAGTCTCACTTATTATCAACACACTAAAAAACAAGACAGGAGATTTAAATACCTTACCGCCCTTTATATACAATAAAGCTTCAAAAGTGCTGTCACCAATCATTGCAACACTCTTTAACAAATCCATCGAATCCTCTACCTTCCCTACAGTTCTCAGAATAGCAAGGGTGGTCACCCCGATACATAAAAGAGGAGATCAAGCAGACTTGAATAACTATAGGCCAATATCCAACTTACACCCTCTAAAATCTTTGAAAAACTAATTCATAAGCAAATCTATTCCTACCTCATCTCCCACAACATACTCAACCCCTTGTCAGCCTAATAAAAATACGAATGATGCTATTATACACGTGCTAACACAAATATACACTGCACTCGAGAAAGAAGAAGTCCCATTGGGAATCTTCATTGATTTATGTAAAGCTTTTGATACAGTTGACCATGATTTGCTGCACATAAAATTATCACACTGTGGTATAAGAGGGCACTACCTCAACTACCTAAAGTCATACCTTAGCAACAGAAGCCAATATGTGTACACAAATGGAGCAAACTCTTCCACACAGCCAATTACAGTTGGTGTCCCACAGGGAAGTGTCCTTGGCCCTCTTTCTCATTTACATAAACGACCTACCAAATGCATCGCAACTACTCAAACCCACACTATTTGCAGATGACACTACATTGTCTTCTGTCACCCAAGCTCAGTCTTACTAGCCAATACTGTAAATACCGAATTACAGAAAATATCTACCTGGATGATGATTAACAAACTTACTCTCAATATTGACAAAACCTACTACATTCAGTTTTGGAACAGAACTACAGATGTTCCTCTTAACATAATGATAAACGGATCACCTATCACAAAGCTCACAGAGGGAAAATTCTTAGGAATCCACCTTGATAATAGACTCAAATTTCAAACACATGTACAACAAATTTCCAAGAAAATCTCCAAGACCGTAGGCATACTATCGAAGATACGGTACTATGTGCCACAGTTAGCCCTCCTGGCCCTATATTACTTACTCATTTACCCCTATCTCACCTATGGAACTTGTGCATGGGGCTCAACAACAATAAATAATCTCAGACCATTAATTACCCAACAAAAGGCTGCAGTCAGAATGATAAATTCCCACTCCAGGCAGCATACTCCACCAATATTCAAAACTCTAAACTTACTCACCGTACAAAACATCCATACTTATTATTGTGCCTACTACATACACCTACCATCCGACTTACGACCTGCTCGACTTACGACCACTCGACTTACGACCGTGTTTTTTATGCCAAATTTCTGGGAATTAAACAACTATTTGTGTTGTACACAGTGTTTATCCTAAACCTTACAGTATAAAATACAGTACTAACAGCATAAAAAGTAAAGTAAAACATGAAATACCAAAATAAAACAATAAAATAAAGTCATTACAAAAATGTTTTGTTGATATTCAGTAGTAAAGTTCGACTTGCGACCATTTTGACTTATGACCGGTTTCTCGGAGCCGAACTCGGTCGTAAGTCGGATGGTAGGTGTACATATAACACTAAACTCGAATATAGACCCTCCCCTCAAACTTCTCCTTACCACCTTCAGCAGAACACATGACCATAACACAAGGCACAGATCACTCTTTGATGTTCTCCGTGTCCATCTCGCACTATGTAAAAACTCAGTTCACATAAAAGGCCCAAAAATCAGGAATTCATTACCTGTGAATATAAAAGAAATACTGTTTGTTTATCAATTCAAGACTCTTCTTAAAAACCACTTACTCAACCACAACTAAATAAATACTGAATAACTGAATCTCATAAATGTATAACCTGTGACCCTATCAAACTATGTTTTTTTTTTAATTACATTCTCTTGAATGCACAGTAACTCATCTAATGACCATATGACCTGTTTCTGCACTACAAATCATTGATTTTACTTGATCTGATTCGATTATATTATACATTGTTATGCTACAAATTTGTACAACTTTAATGCTTCTTATTTGAAATACTCATTTGTACTTCATGTTGTAATTTGTTTACTGTAATTTTTACCACTGAATATATCATTGCTTAGTTAATCTAAGTTAATTTTAAGCCTGCCCATAATGCTCTGCATACAAGGGGCTTTTGGCAGGTACACCCAATCACTATATTTCTTTGTACACCTATGTATCATGTCCAAATAAAAAATAAATAAATATGTACAGTACTGTATTTAAATTATTGTTGGGGCAAGTACAAATCCTTATGACACAGACCTTTATGGATTGTGCACTTCCCATAAGTATTAGAATATTTGCTTAGACACAAGTATACTCAATAAACACAAATATAGTAGGATGGTAGATTACAGTCATCCAAGAAGTAACTACTGCCCTATAACATGAGCTGGAAATGGGAGCCTGTTGAATGTCTTGCATTGGTAGGATTACATTTTCTTTACCCCATGAACATGTAGGGTGACAATATACAGTTACCTTTACTTACTGGAGTTTTTCTTAATACAGTAGTTTTATTTCTATAACTGCATTTCCTTTCCTATTTATAGGGTCCAGTCTGAGACCAGGCTATGAGGGTGATGGTCTTCAGAGGTGGAGGTAACCTGAGTACACGTACTTTGTTTCCAGGCAGACTACAGATATTCGAACACAAACACATGCATGAATGCATGCACGCATGTGTTCATGCACATAAACATGACTACAGATATTTAAGATTTTGCAAAATTCCTGCCATGAAACACTAAGTGGGAGGTGATGGGGGATACCTTCCTTCCACCATTTAGTTATCAATTCATTATCTAGTTTTATGAATGATTATACTGTATTTTTATAATTTAGTTTAGTAACTATTTATATGAGAGAAAATCATATTAGTTGTTACTGTAAAGTTTTACTTTTCAGGATCCTCCCAGGAAACCTATTGGGTGGAATTACCAGTTAAAAACATCAAAAGATGACAAGGTTAGTATATGATGTTTTAATATTTTAATGGCTGTTATGTTCATGTGTTATGTGATGAGATTGCAGTGAATTCAGTGGGAAGTATGCTTGTTTACAAGAGAATTAATGACGTATATAAAGAAAAGTCATCAAGGATGAATGAGTTTTTTAATTGTGAGGCTTCAGTATTCACACTACTATTCATTTGTACAATCTGCTAATATTGAATGTCAGCATGTATATGTGAAGCATTTTAGGCACTATTGTTATTTTTAGTTTATAAGGCAATGATTATTTTACCAAAAATGCTGTGTGTAAATTCATTGTTGTAATAATTCTTCTAAAATCAGTTTGAACACCAGAAAATGGAATTTCACTTATGTTAATTAACCCCTTGACTGTCGCGACCCCAAATCCTCAAGTGTCTCTCTGTGTCGCAAAATATTAAAAAAAAAAATTATTTTATGAAATGATAGAGAATCTTTTCCCGATGGTAATAACACCAAAAGTACGGAATTTGATGGAAACCTTATAGAATTACTTTCTCACGAAGTTAACGATCTCGGCAGTATATACGCATTGGCGATTTCACCCATTTTGAGCCCTATTTTCGGCCAATTCCATTGTTCCAGTTAACCAAACTCATAGCTATTTCTTTAAAAATCCATTTGTTCTATCGATTGAGTACAAGAAACTGCTCATTTACCGATTTCAACTACCCAATAAAGTGGTCAGAAATTGGCAATTTGGCCAATTTCACGCAAATTAAAAAAGATGCCAATTTCAAAATAGGGTCTAGAAGAAACGATGCAGACATTCCTGGCACTAAAATAACATTTCCTCTGTTCATTAGTCATGTCTCCAGGCCCCTCTTATATTACTCTTGCTTTCTATTTTGAATTTTTATTCACACAAAAATAGAAGATTTACTGTTATGCAGACTACTTCATTATTGTAATAATTGTATAAATAACATCAACCCATTTGTGGCTGCGTATTAGAATGGCTAGTTGGACGTGTATTGAACATCGGCAAAAATCGAACATTTCCGCTAATTTGAGCTCAGTTTCAAGGTCCTTTTCATCGTGAAACCAATCAAAATCATCTCTATTTCTGTAAAATGTCTTTCATTCTATCACATGAGACCAAGAAAGCGAGAATACAATCATAAATACTATATGAAAATACACCTCAAAGTTGGTGATTTAATACAAAAACACGGTCAGTTTTTTTTTCTCATTATGCACTGTGTGCTGCAGGATTTTTTATACTGCGCACATTGACCACACAGACTCATTCTCTCACATGTGGGCCTACCAGCTTTTTCCTGCTTGATTTGAAGCTGCTAGAATTTTCACGTATTAATACGTCAAAACCACTGGCTCGTAAGGCGTATATATACAATGAAAACAGTCAAAATATTAATATAATTTAAATTAAAACTTGACTGATACAGATTTAGTAGGATTTAGTTGAATTATATCAGGTTAATTTTGGAAAGATTAGTTTTGGTGCAAAGTAAATATTTTTTTTAGCACTCTGGTAGTCTCCCACCAAGGTAGTGACCCAAAAAAGAAGAAACACTCACCACAACTCACTTGATCACTGTGTTGATAGAGACATGCCAATACTACAATTCAGATGCCCCTCCAAACTACAATTATCCCCACCCCTCCTTCAGAGTGCAGGCACTATTCTTTCTACATCCAGGACTCAAGTCTGGCTAACTGGATTCCGTGAATTCCAGCATGAGAACATAAGAAAGAAGGAGCACTGCATCAGGCCTACTGGCCCAAGCTGGTCAGGTCCAGCTCATATCCTCCCACACCCACCCATGTATTTGTCTAACCCATTTTTGAAACTACACAACATTTTAGCTTCAATGACATTACTTAAGAGTTTGCCCCACTCATCCACAACTCTATTACCAAACCAGTGCTTTCCTATATCCTTTCTAAATCTAAATTTTGCTAACTTGAACCTATTGCTGTGAGTCCTGCCTTGGTTAGATATTTTCATCATGTTATTTACATCCCCTTTGTTGATTCCTGTTTTCCATTTACATACCACAATGATATCCCCACTAATTCTACCCCTTTCTAGAGAGTGCAGAATCAGGGCCCTCAGTCTATCCCTGTAGGAAAGATTTCTGATACGTGGGATCAACTTAATTATCCTTCTTTGTTCCATTTCTAGTGCATTCTTATCCATTCTGTAATATGGTGATCAGAACTATGCAGGATAATCTAAATAAGGCCCAACCAATAATATATATAATTGAAGAACAACCTGAGGACTCCTGTTATTTATACATCTTGATATGAAGCCAGGTAGGTAGTAGGTTGGTAGACAGCAACCACCCAGGGAAGTACTACCGTCCTGCCAGATGACTGTGAAACAGAAACCTGTAACTGTTTTGCATGATGGTAGGATTGCTGGTTTCTTTTTCTGTCTCATAAACACGCTAGATAACAGGGATATCTTGCTACTCCTACTAACACTTTGGTCACACTTCACAGACACGCACATGCATATATATATACATACATCTAGGTTTTTCTCCTTTTTCTAAATAGTTCTTGTTCTTCTTTATTTCTTCTATTGTCCATGGGGAAGTGGAAAAGAATCTTTCCTCCGTAAGCCATGCGTGTCGTATGAGGCGACTAAAATGCCGGGAGCAATGGGCTAGTAACCCCTTCTCCTGTAGACACTTACTAAAAAAGAGAAGAAGAAAAACTTTATAAAACTGGGATGCTTAAATGTGTGTGGATGTAGTGCGGATGACAAGAAACAGATGATTGCTGATGTTATGAATGAAAAGAAGTTGGATGTCCTGGCCCTAAGCGAAACAAAGCTGAAGGGGGTAGGAGAATTTCAGTGGGGGAAATAAATGGGATTAAATCTGGAGTATCTGAGAGAGTTAGAGCAAAGGAAGGGTAGCAGTAATGTTAAATGATCAGTTATGGAAGGAGAAAAGAGAATATGAATGTGTAAATTCAAGATTATGTGGATTAAAGTAAAGGTTGGATGCGAGAAGTGGGTCATAATAAGCGTGTATGCACCTGGAGAAGAGAGGAATGCAGAGGAGAGAGAGAGATTTTGGGAGATGTTAAGTGAATGTATAGGAGCCTTTGAACCAAGTGAGAGAGTAATTGTGGTAGGGGACCTGAATGCTAAAGTAGGAGAAACTTTTTAGAGAGGGTGTGGTAGGTAAGTTTTGGGTGCCAGGTGTAAATGATAATGGGAGCCCTTTGATTGAACTTTGTATAGAAAGGGGTTTAGTTATAGGTGATACATATTTTAAGAAAAAGAGGATAAATAAGTATACAAGATATGATGTAGGGCGAATGACAGTAGTTTGTTGGATTATGTATTGGTAGATAAAAGACTGTTGAGTAGACTTCAGGATGTACATGTTTATAGAGGGGCCACAGATATATCAGATCACTTTCTAGTTGTAGCTACACTGAGAGTAAAAGGTAGATGGGATACAAGGAGAATAGAAGCATCAGGGAAGAGAGAGGTGAAGGTTTATAAACTAAAAGAGGAGGCAGTTAGGGTAAGATATAAACAGCTATTGGAGGATAGATGGGCTAATGAGAGGATAGGCAATGGGTCGAAGAGGTATGGGGTAGGTTTAAAAATGTAGTGTTAGAGTGTTCAGCAGAAGTTTGTGGTTACAGGAAAGTGGGTGCGGGAGGAAGAGGAGCGATTGGTGGAATGATGATGTAAAGAGTGTAGTAAGGGAGAAAAAGTTAGCATATGAGAAGTTTTTACAAAGTAGAAGTGATGCAAGGAGGGAAGAGTATATGGAGAAAAAAGAGAGAGGTTAAGAGAGTGGTGAAGCAATGTAAAAAGAGAGCAAATGAGAGAGTGGGTGAGATGTTATCAACAAATTTTGTTGAAAATAAGAAAAAGTTTTGGAGTGAGATTAACAAGTTAAGAAAGCCTAGAGAACAAATGGATTTGTCAGTTAAAAATAGGAGAGGAGAGTTATTAAATGGAGAGTTAGAGGTATTGGGAAGATGGAGGGAATATTTTGAGGAATTGTTAAATGTTGATGAAGATAGGGAAGCTGTGATTTCGTGTATAGGGCAAGGAGGAATAACATCTTGTAGGAGTTGAGGAAGAGCCAGTTGTGAGTGTGGGGAAGTTCGTGAGGCAGTAGGTAAAATGAAAGGGGGTAAGGCAGCCGGGATTGATGGGATAAAGATAGAAATGTTAAAAGCAGGTGGGGATATAGTTTTGGAGTGGTTGGTGCAATTAGTTAATAAATGTATGGAAGAGGGTAAGGTACCTAGGGATTGGCAGAGAGCATGCATAGTTCCTTTGTATAAAGGCAAAGGGGATAAAAGAGAGTGCAAAATTATAGGGGATAAGTCTGCTGAGTATACCTGGGTAAAGTGTATGGTAGAGTTATTATTGAAAGAATTAAGAGTAAGACGGAGAATAGGATAGCAGATGAACAAGGAGGCTTTAGGAAAGGTAGGGGTGTGTGTGGACCAGGTGTTTACAGTGAAACATATAAGTGAACAGTATTTAGATAAGGCTAAAGAGGTCTTTGTGGCATTTATGGATTTGGAAAAGGCGTATGACAGGGTGGATAGGGGGGCAATGTGGCAGATGTTGCAAGTGTATGGTGTAGGAGGTAGGTTACTGAAAGCAGTGAAGAGTTTTTACGAGGATAGTGAGGCTCAAGTTAGAGTATGTAGGAAAGAGGGAAATTATTTCCCAGTAAAAGTAGGCCTTAGACAAGGATGTGTGATGTCACCGTGGTTGTTTAATATATTTATAGATGGGTTGTAAGAGAAGTAAATGCGAGGGTCTTGACAAGAGGCGTGGAGTTAAAAGATAAAGATCACACACAAAGTGGGAGTTGTCACAGCTGCTCTTTGCTGATGACACTGTGCTCTTGGGAGATTCTGAAGAGAAGTTGCAGAGATTGGTGGATGAATTTGGTAGGGTGTGCAAAAGAAGAAAATTAAAGGTGAATACAGGAAAGAGTAAGGTTATGAGGATAA